TATATGCTCGTTTTTTCTTTTTCTTGACTTGTTGACGATCACCATAATTCTCTAATGTTTCGTCGATATATTGATCAAATTTATCGTTCAACATTTCGTTGAGATTATAATTTGAAGAAGATCCCATTTTGAGAAATGGTATATTTTTTTTGGAGAAGAAAAGGAATGTTTTATATAAATGGTTTAGATTGTTTTGGAACAGAAAAAGAATGTTTTGGAGACAAAGTAGAATGTTTTGTATGTAGATTGAGAAGAAGAAGAATGCGTTGGAGAAGGAGTAGAAGAAGATTGTTTTGGAGAAGAAGAAGGAGAATATTGTTTTGGAGAAGCAGAAGAGAAGTGTTCGTTTTGTATATATAGAGAAACTAAAGAACTTGGCCTTGAAGAACAGAAAAATACATTCAAACCAATTTACAAAAGAGAGTCACGAGTGTATTAAGAGATGTCGACATAAAAACACAAAAGAGAGTCACGAGTGTATTAAGAGATGTTGACACAAAAACACAAAAGACTCAAGTGTAACTGTTCTGTCATATACAAGTGATGTCTGCACAACCATATATAGTCTTCCACGTCCCTGCAAACATTAAGACATTGAACTTATAAAAGTCATTAGACCAAACATTACTAATAAAAACAGCAAACACAAACTCAGTTCATTGATCACAGAAGCGAAATACATATAAGTTAACATTGAAACTAAAAACATAAACTAAAAACATGCATAAACTAAAACAGAACCTGAAATACATACTTAAACTTACTTGCATAAACATTAAGACAACTCTGTCTCACTGTTGTCTATTACACAAGTGAAGTCGGCACTAAAGCACAAAAGCATTGGTGTCACATGTGTCTCTTACACAAGTGATGTCGGCTCACCTGCATCATACACAAACCAGAAACTTAAAACAGAAGCACAAAACATTCAGAAACTTTAAGACAACATTAATAGAACATACTTACACTTAAAACATAACCACAAACTTCATTCATTAATCTTAAAATAGTTATGAGCTTGTTCTTCCACGTCCTGCAAGTTAACATTCAAGTTAGTTATCATTGAGTTTAAAACAAGCATGAAAGTAAGAGAATCCAGATAATTCTTTCAGTTTAAGTCAACATTCAGTTTAAGTTAACATTCAGTTTAAGTTAACATTCAAGTTAGTTTAGTTTCAGTTGAAGACAAGCATAGCTTAAACAGAAATCATTTCATTAATAGCAAAACACATTCAGACATACTTCAAACAGAAACTAAAGACATAGTTAAACTTAAAACAGATAATTAAAACATACTTAGCTTAAACAGAAATAAAAACAAACTTAAGCTTAGGACAACATATCCATTATGAGCTTGTTCTTAAGAGTCATCTCTATGTCAGTTAGAGGCTCTGTTTTTAGCATCAAAGTGTCAAGTAGTTTAGTCCTACTAAGCTTCTCCTTAACATTGATTAGCTTCTCTTTGAAAGCTAAATCTTTCTCCTTAATCTCCCAGATATAATGTAACTCCTTCAGAGTCTTGTCTTCTTCTCCAATCACAGTGGTTGTCTTTGCTTTAGCTTTGGCTTTGGCTGCCTTAACACCAGTGGGACGTGGCTCTTCCTCTTCAATGTTGATTGGCATAGAGGATGAGGCCTGTGCAGAGCCGACCTCAGCCCTTTTTCTCTTTTCTGACCCACTGTCTTTACTTGTTGACGATCCGCACCACTTCTGATCATGGCGAAGCTCCCTCCAAGCATGCTCAAGGGTGAACTTGGCCTTGTGATCATTGAAGAAAATCTGGTGAGCCAAGGTCACCACATCATTCTCATTTTGGCCACTGGTTTTCTGTTTAGTTGCAGCCTCATAGCTTCCTACAAACTTGCAGACCCCCTCATTTATCTTTGCCCACCTCTGTTTACAGCATAATGGAGCTCTCTTTTACAGACCTTTCAGCTTGGGACTTGCTGCAACGTAGTCGGCTATGCGTTGCCAGAAAGTTGTGGCTTTTTGCTCATTGGAGACTACATGATCCTTGGAGGTGTTGAGCCAGGCACTAATGAGAATCACATCATCTGTTGGTGACCATTTGCGTCTTGTTTTGCGGTCTGCAACAGGCACTTAAGCTTGGCTGGGATCAATCCAAGGTGCACTAAAGCTAAAGCCATCATACTGATTTGGTGGAAGCATGGGATTATCTTCTTGACTGCTTAAGAGGTTTACAAAGCTTGAAGGATTGGTATATGGATTCCTTGAATCCATATCAAACAATGAAGGTTCTGGTTTGTGTATTTAATCAGACAAGTGAGGGAAAGAGATTAAGTTTTTTTCTGGTTTGTGTTTAAGATTCTCTATTTTTTGAAGACAAGTGAGGGAAATAAATAGCTTCAGTAGTTAGTGTAAAAAAGAGCTTCAGTGTTTAAAACGACTGAAGTTATGGTTGGATGTTAGGCTGAAGCATTGATCACAAAGAGCAATCAATAACATTATTAACTTTTATCTAGCCTAATCTAATCACAGAGAGCAATCAATCCAATATATGCAATCAAAGAGAAGCAATCAAAGAGAAGCAATCAATGACATACTTAATAAGTATGATTTAGACTTCTCAGACTTTAACTAATCTAAACCAGTCATAATCATTTATCACAATGCATTCAATTAAAGACAGAACTACATTAATTATGAAAACACCACCAATCAACTCCAAGTTTCTTCAAGAACTCAAAATTAGCTCTCACTACATTAATCACACAGCAGAAAATAAACAAGTCATAATCGTTTTGTATCAAAGATGCATTAATCACACAGCAGAAAATAAAAAAACTGATGTATCTAAATGCATTAATCTCAAAGCATCTCAGGAAGTAAAAGAAAAAGAGGAAGAACTCACTTGCAAAATTTTGGAGGACAAAGTGCTTTCTTTATCTTTACATTAGGTCAGTCTTTACATCACTTGCACAATTGAAAACCTGTTTCTCGCCTAGCTTGATGACACTGCTCTCAATCATTTCTCTGTACAAGTCACTGCCTTCACGGGTCCGTTCTGCCACGCCAGCAAACACAGAGAAACCACCTATTCATCACAAGACTGATTCTCTGTTGAACAAAAACATGTCCGGGAGTAAACAAACAATCTATGGCACCAATCGTCTTAGAACATGACTAATAACAGTTTAATAGACTGATTATCTATTCAATAACCCAAAATTGCGTTTACAAATCAAAAACCCTAATTTCTAGAAAATCAAATCTCAATCCACAAACCCTAATTTTGATTACAGCTAATAACCGTAATCAAAAGTCACCGTAACAACTAAACAGAGAGATTCGTACCGTGATGAGGCGATTGGAGCATGGAATCGACTAACTCTCCGATTTTATTAGCTTTGAGCATTGATTAGGTCGGTTTCTGAAGCTCGACACCGATCTCTCCCGAGAGCAATCAACTTTGGTTCGCCTTTAGCTTCCAATTTGATGGAAGTATACGCCGGTTTCTGAAGCTCAACGCCGATCTCTCAGAAAATCGTCGACGGAGAGAACAAGGTGAGAGAGAGAGAGAGAGAGATGCGAGAAAAATGAATCGGGTGTGTTTTTTTTTTTGTTTGTTTTCTCTGATTACGAACCAATAGAACGATGCCACGTCAGCGCACCTTAAGAGGCCAAACAACTCTAAAGAAAGAAACATTGCTTGGGTTTAAGAACTGTTTTGAATTAAATTTGGGCTTAAAATTTTTAAGAAATTAGGCTAAGAGCCCTTTAAGGTGTGCCATTGCTGTTGCTCTTAGACCCGAATCACTGCAGCTTCGGGTGTCACTAACAAATTTTATAACAGGCTGTAAATATGACCATATATATATATATATATGCACTAGAAAAGTCAACGAACTCTTCAGATCATTTTGGTTAATGACAGTTTTTGTTGTTAAATGGTTACGTACTGACAGTTCAATGTTTCTTTTTCTTTCTATTTACGGAAGTTGGGGATTCAATCAACTTTCCTTGGGCATTACGTACCCTAATCGCTTTCCACAACATCAGTTCATCTTGTAATATATTACTATCATAGCCGCACAAGAAAAGAAAAAAAAAGAAAAGAGAAGAGTGAGCACTACAAGAAAACATGAGATTAGCGACTTAATTCGGCGACTAATTTTGCAGTCGCTATATCTAGTGACCGTTTAGCTACGTTTTGGCGACTAAATATGAACCAAAATACGATAGTCGCTAATTAGTATCTAATATGAGACTGATTTATATTGTCGTTATATAGTCGCTAAATATGGCGACAGATTAGTTACCGAATATTTAGTCGCCAACTAGAGCGACTCAGTGGCTACGAATTAGCGACTGCGTAATTCTAGTTGGACATTCAAATTGGGCCCAAAAGCCCAACAACCCAGTAACGTTAGCCCATGAGCCCAAGTATATATGTCGTTCTCCCTTCGTAGAAAACCCTAATCCCGTTTTGCTCGCACCCAAATCAAACCCTAGATTCTCTCGATCTAGCGACGAACCCTAATTCTCGACCGAATTGTCTCTCGTATCTCTCTCGATGGCTCCTAGTGGTGGAAAACGTAAGAGAGGAAGAGGAGGAGGAGGAAGGGCTCCGAAGGTTTCCCCAAATCGACCTGTCGCCAATCGACCCACTGCTTCTGGGACGTCAAATCGAAGACCCAGTACTCTTCCTAGCCAGTATACCTTCACTCCGGCAAATCCTAAAGCCCCAGAGACTCAGCAAAGTCCGGTAAATCCTGTAGCCCTAGAGTCTCAGCCTCCGACTCATAGAGACTATCCTCCTCCGACGCAGCTGTTCCAGTCCGGCGATGATTCTCCTCGAGGCTCTGGGTCGCATCCATTTCGGGAATCTGGATCTACTCAAGTTCGAGGGTCTGGATCTGTTCAAGGACGAGGCTCTGTAGGATCTATTCATCGTCTAGCTTCTCGGTCGAATCAACCTCCTGCGCCGGTTCAACCTCCTGCGCCGGTTCAACCTCCAGCGTCGACTCAGCCTGCAGCGTCAAATCGACAAATACCATCTCGTCAACAAAGACCTTCTCCTCAACCTCGAGCCTCTGTATCGCATCATAGTTCTCAGGCTCAAAACTCACACGAGGAATCTGAAGATGAGGAAGCTGAAGGTGAATCTAAAGAAGATGTGTTGAGGGATTCAACACTCCCAGAAGATGTCCTCGCAGATTTACATGCTACACTTCTCATCCCAGGCCGTGAGAAGTACACCACCGTCATCTCTCCCAACCTCGAGCCTGAAACCACTTGGTAAACATTTTTAATTTTGATTGTATATAGGTCTGATTGTATATAGATTAGGTAAATAGGTTAGCTTGGTAAACATTTTCAATACTTAAGTAGAGTCTTCTTATTGGTCTGCATGTTTTGGTCTTATAGTCTGTTAGGTTTGCTTGTATATAGGCCTGCTTGTATAGTTTGAGTTAGAGTCTGTTAGTATATAGTATTAGCTTTATTGGTCTGCTTGTATAACTTAAGTAGAGTCTGGTTGTATAATTTGAGTTTGAGTATGTTTGTATTTGATTAGGTCTACTTGTTTATAGATTATGGATGGTATCAAAGCTAACTGGTTTATTTGATTGTAGGTTTGGTAAGGACAATGGAAAGCTAACCCGGAAGATCACTAAATGTTTCACAAACAAGTTTGATGGGCCATATTACAATTGGAGCTGTGTTCCTACTGGTAGAAGAGAAAGATACTTCCTCGAATTCGCGGTAAAATTCTGTCTCCTCTTATACTTATGTAATTACACTTTTGTTTTGTTTTTTGATCACTAACACCAAACTCTACTCTTGTTTTGTAGAAACTACACACCTGGCATCCCTCAGTGACAGGTGTTGTTGAAGCTAAATTCTACAAGATTTGTCAGGTGCGGATGAAAGACATGGTTAGCAAGGCATGTTCAAAACGAGAGAGGCCAAATTGGATCGAGAAAACACTTTGGATAGAGATGTGTGCCTATTGGGACACTGAAGAAGCATTAGCCAAGAGTTCAACCACATCAGCAGCTAGGATGTCTGACCGTAATGGTCTTGGTCCTCACAAGCATGTTGCTGGTCCAAAGTCGTTTTTACAAATAGAGCAAGAGATGGTATATTCTGACCTATTTACTTTGTTTTAGTTTTAGATTACTTAGACCTATATATTTACTTTGTTCAGGAAGTTGAATTGGGAAGACCTCCTACTATTGGTGAAGTTTTCATCAGGACTCATACCAAGAAGGATGGGACTTTTGTGGATAGGAAGGCGCAGGAAGTCCATGAAACATATCTCAAGAACAAGGCAGCTAAGTTGGCTGCCCTTCAAGAGAATGATGAACAAGCAGATGGGACTTCGCAACGATATGAGCTATCTCAAGAGGAGGATGATGAGATCTTCCTTCAGGTAAATAGTCTGTTATTTATGGTTGCTTTTGTTATGCAGTCTAACTGTGTAATACTCTTTCTTTTGGTATGCAGTCTACTGTCACAAACGACAGAGGAGAATACTTTGGTGTTGGCAGCCTCGGGGTTTACATCAACGGGAAGCGCAAGTACCCAGGAAGCAGTTCTTCTTTCACAACACTCCAATCACAGCTTGAGGATGCTAACCGGAAGATAGAGGAACAAGCAGCGCTCCAAGCAGAACGTGAAGCAGAGGCTTTGCGGGTCGCAGCTGAGCAAGCAGCTGAGATCAAGCATTTGGCGATGGTGAAGAAGTATTTGAGCGAGACTGACCCAAAGTTTATGGCCTTCCTCAAGTCTCAATCTGCTGCCACTGATACTACTACTGCTGCCACGACTGCTGCCACTGCTGCTGCCACGACTGCTGCTGCCACGACTGCTGCCACTGCTGCTGCCACGACTGCTGCTACTACTGCTACTATTCCTACTGCTCAACAACCATAGGTCCCTCCTTCTCTAAACTTTCCCTCCTTCTCTGAACTTGAAAACATTTGTGTTGCTTTGAAAACTTGTGTAAGTTGTTTGGTTACTTGAACTTGGTTCTTATGTTTATGTATGTTTATGTTGTGGTTTATTTTATAATGTTCTTATGTTTTAAATAGAAGTCTTTTTGCTTATAAATTGGTAATAACAATCAAATTAGCAACAATTTATTCTTCCAAAATTAGCATTCTAAGTCGATAATAATCAGTCGCAAAGTAGTATCAATTCAGTTACCAAAACATTTAGAAAATAGTCGCCATGTAGTGACATAACAGTCGCTAGATTCGTCACAAAACAGTCGCCAAAAGAGTCGCAAACTTAGCGACTGTGTGACGACTGAATAGCGACTGCAAATAATGGTCGCCTATTAGTCGCCAAATAGCGACTGTTATGCGACATATTAATTTAGCGACGCAAGGTTCAGCGACTACGTGTTTTAGTCGCCAAACAGTCGTAATTATGTATTTAGCGACGATTTTGTTACTATTAGTGTAGTCGCTAAATCCATGTTTTCTTGTAGTGGAGGGTCTGAGGGAGATAAAGCTGGTGGCGGATTTCGAAGATTATGAGACGGAGGGGTATCTACGTATAGACGTATAGTTGTATACGACATGTCGTCAATCGGTGTTGAAACCACTTGTCCTTGCACAGGTCAATTTGTGTGTGACTGCAATCTTAACCTAAGATTTTCCATAAATTTATAGCATGTAAGCATATCTCACGAGAGCAACGTAATAATGCTAGTGATGTTATATATTTTTAGACCGTTTAAGAGTCTTAGGTGAGTGGACCACCCATTTTCATTATGTATTTTTCTGAGTGGGTCCAAATAGTGAGGACCCATTTTATTTCCAATCTCCATCTTAAACGCTTATAATATATGCCATACTCATGTCCATCCATCCCCACGTCATCTCTCTCTCTCTCTCTCTGCATTTAAATATTGGTTAGCTTTTGTAAATATCATGCTTGGTTAGCTTTTGTAAATATCATGCTTCCCTTTGCAGATGCATCTACTATACATTTTTGCAACACTTTTTGGGGTTCCTAATCGGGTCAAATTTTATTTAATTTTGACCCGGAAATCTTCAATCGGATCTTTCCTTATTTTTGACAAAATTAAAAAACGAAAATTACTCAATAAAATCTAAAAAATATATACTCAACTAATTACTATACCTAAACTCTTTATTTATGGCATATTCTCTACAATTTTTATAGATAAAGAAATCAAATATGATTATTTAATGCTAATATAACAAATTTGAACTAATTTCCTAAAACCTCTCTACCTAATTAAAACATAAATATATGATTCTCATTTCACTTTTATATGATCTTATATTTATATTATTTTGAACTATTATAAAATATATATACTTAATAAAAAAATTCGATTTTTTCTGCATATGCTATGATTCAAATTTTTTAAAACGGACATATTACTCAATCGATGAAGAAAAAAGTATGTGTACAATCTATATTAACATTTTTGAAAAACAAATTTGCGCGTTTAGTCCGGTCGTATTTTATTTTTTACTCTGACCCGGAATTGAGTCATTCAGATATTTTCTTAATTTCTACAATTATCTAAAACGGGACAATATATCACGGTGAAATCTTAAAATTAACAAATCGAAATACAATTATTTAGTATTTTAATATACATTTTAAAAATATTTTTACGGGTTGGTCTAAAAACACACACTAATTTGAAATATATATATATATATATATATATTATAGAAACTATTTGAAAGCAAACTTTTAAATTGACTCGAATTATATGTCTTTTAAATAAAAGTGTTATTAAAAGAAATAACAAAATGATGTTTAATTTTACGGGACATGATTATATGGTGGGACGGGTCGGATTTGGATTGATATTAATACGGGATAATATATCACGGGTGAAATCCTGGGATTAACAAATCAAAATACAAATATACAATTTTAAACACAAAACAAAACAAATACAACTTAAAATTTTCATTTTTAGTTACAACGCATGTGACTCGCAATGTATAACAAAAAATATTATATACAACAAATTCATCAGTTTATAAAAAGACAAAAAAAAATCAAATAATTAATCCGCGGTTTACCGCGGGTAACAATCTAGTCTACTATACATTTTTGCAGCAGTTTTTGGGGTACCCAAATCGGGTCAAAATTTGTTTAATTTTGACCCGGAAATTTAATGTTTTTGACCCGGAAAAATCAATCTCGGATCTTACCTTAATTGAGCATTTTACCCGAAATCTTTCACCAAATGCTTCCATATTTGCTGCTACCTACATTCAAGGCTTAAATGATTAAGTTTCTCATATTTGAAAGATTTAAAGATATATAGAATATATATAGTTATAAGAAATTGATCCTAAATACAAAATGTTTCCTATTAAAAGGCGAGATAAACGATTTCATCTAGAATCTGTATAACTAATTGATCTTATATACAAAATGTTTCCTAGAATTATATAAATATCAAAAACGAAATTATTAGTTTGAGTTTAGGAAAATATCAGCCGTATATATCTTTTAAACAAACCAATATTCTATAATTAAATTGTTTCCTATTTAAATGGTAAAGATTTTGAGTCCATTAATATTTGTTTCCTAAATAAAATGAACCATATCAAATCGACATTAATCAACAACTGATTTTTAAGTAAATGACTAAAGCATATTCTTTAAACATGCTATATTCAATTCTTAATTTCTCGAAGATATCTTGACATTTATTTCGGATTTCTTATTATGTAAATGTTAGTTAATGATATCTAACAAATCTGGCTTGATCACAAAGCTATTTTCGAATTTTTATAAAACCTAAGGCCAAGAGACTATAACCTCTATAAATAGGTTTTCGATAACAGAAAATTATCACATCAGCAGAGATTTTACCTTTTAACACAATAAAAGAAGACTTTTCAGAAATCAATGGCTGCTTCATTCTCCAATCTCATAGATTTGAGACTTTACAAAGCTTCATGTGCGTCCAAGTTTAAGATCCTGCATTCATGGATAATATACTGTCAAAAAGGGAGACTCTTGATATGGTCTAGACTGATGAGGAAGTCAGTTTTCATGTACTGAAATTTGGTTCTAAACCTTTTTCTTATTAACTAACTTGATATGTTATATGTCTTAGGGAGCAAAGACAACTCTTTTAAACTATGATAACTTGATCTGCATACGAGGAATACCGAGAAAATCAGGTAGGTTGCATCTATCTTTTACAAACTATGATAATTTGTTAAATCATGTTAAGCTGTTGATGGGATCATGATGATCTGTGTTACCTTTTTTGTTGTCTCTTCTCATTTTGCTTATCTTACTGATGTTTCACAATGAAGATAAGCAAATCCGTGTAAAAATCTTGAGAATCTGGAAGCAAAAGGGAGTTCAAGATGAAGCAATCGAGTTATAATTCCTTGATGATAAGGTACTATAATTAGCTAGCAAAAATCTTATTCATCTTTTTTATTTCTACATATATATTTAGCGAGTTCTGTTTTTATTTGTTTTAGATTCAATATTACTAATGGGGAAGGTTGTTCTCAAGTATCTTTGATCCACAAATTCCAGAATTTACAAGATTAGGCAAACGTAACCTTATTCTAACCAAGGTAAATAATTAGTGTTGGGTGTTTGACAACAAGAACATCATTTAGTTTACTTTAAAAAAATAACAATACTTACTTAGAGCTACTGGATTGATTGTTATCAAGCATTGGCCTATAAAACTATAACTATAAGATAGATGCATAAACGGATCCGAGAGAAAGAGATTACCATTTCTTGCATGTGCTAATTATATTAGAGTTATTAAATCAACTGGCCAGAGATTTTGAGAACCTGAAATTGAACAAAGACAACGCCTGTTAGAACAGGAGATTATGAAGCATCTTATAAAGAAAAGTCCGACCAGAGAGACTTAGAACAAAAAAATTGAACGAAGTGGTTGAGAAATCAGAAACCAAAGATTCAACTAAGCATGTGATCTCTTACGATTAAAGTCAAATTGAATGAAACAACGACGGGTAGTCTGAGAAAATATATCCCGTCGTTGCAACGACCTCTCCTCCCGCATATAGGATGATCTTCTCTGTAATAATCGCTTCCATATTGATTCAAATATGTCGATGCTTTGATTCGGGAGGCTGAACTAACTGTCTGAAATCGAACAGCAAGACTTCGCCAATCAAATCCCCATCGAGCTTCTGAAATGCTTCAGACATGGTTCTCTGTTTGTCCTCCTTCAACCTCCATTATCGAATCTTCTTCTCTGTTCAATCGATTCATCATCTCAGCCTCGAGGAATCCGTACATGATTACTCTCCTTCTTGGGCCATCTCTTCTTTCTAGCCACCATTGGGCTTTTTCTGATTCAAAATTGGCTCTCCTTCGAAGTGTATTGGACTACGTAGCCATTGGGCCATGTAACATTTTAATTCTCATGCTTTTAGTAGAATATCTTTTATCCCAACAAAAATGTAGTAGACTAAAATATTTTACATTATATTAGTTTTGGTATAATATAC